AGCAAAGCTTCTGGTCTAGAGTTTGATGGACAGGATGTTGGCTTTACATTAAACACATGTGGCCGCAAGAATGCTCTTGACATGCAGCTTGCTCACTTCATTGAAATCCAAGGCGTGCCCAGCGGGTTTGAGCCTGGTTTAGAACACTTAGAGCTCAGTCACCTTTTGAAACCAGCATACATCTTTACAGATGTCTTCATTCTACTGAGTTTAATCGGATATCTGCCTGTGAGAAAATGTGATGTGAGTTGCCTCAGTGCAACTCAAGACATAGCTTTCAAGAAATGCCACTGATTATGAGATATACTCTGGATCTACTGACTGAGTCTGAGGCAAGAAACCCAACCAGATTAAATATACTTATTGATTGTAAGGTATCTTCTGATTCCAGGAATGTCTAAATGTGAACAAGAGTGTTTATTAAAAGAGGAAATTCAGGAATGTTAGGCCCCATTGTCCTATGAAAAAGTAAAAAAAAAGGTTAAGCAATTCACCCAAAGCAACTTCTTGACTTCTTTCCTGCTCTTGACCAAGTCTCCTCCATTTTCTTGACCAGAAGTCAACACTGCCCACCACAGTTTGCATGAGTGTGAGTGTGAATGAGCCATTAATAGCAAAGTATGAAACTTTGCTATTAATGGCTTTGATGAAATGAGAGATAAATGCACTGGGCCAATAAGTGGTGTAGATCTGTATAACCTCTCCTGGAGGGTAGCCACCCTTTTTGATGAGGTAGATGTGTTCTCTGCAGGAACTGGGGTGGGTTTCCTGAAAGCCTTATTTTTCAAATGAGAACTCCCTACAAATGTGTAAGAACTTTCTCTTCTCACCTGTTCTCCCTGTGGATCAAGGGATGTTACAAGACGGGCTGTTCAGCGCCATTCACACAGACATGGGTGTTACTGAGTCCAAGCTCGCTCTGCTCACCACACAACAGGTCAATGGATCAGAGGGATCAGAGAAGAGGTGTTGAAGCAAGGAATGAGACTTTATTCAGAGAGCTGACTGATCAAGATGGCAGACTCATGTCTTAAAATAACTGTTGTTGTGGTCTGTGCTTGGGTTGGAAAAGAATTTCCAGACAAGAATGAGAGGAGAATAAAATTTATTAGAGAGGGAGAGGCTATTAGAACAATGGGACCACTCAAGGAAGAGCTGACCCCTTTAGTGGGCTAACTGCCAATTTTTATAGCCTCAAGACGGGAGAAAATTCCTACTGGAATGGCGGCATTAGGTGATTGGTTAGGATGATACAGGGTGGGTAATAGGGCGGGTATTTTACCTAATATGGATTCAATGAACATGAGTTTGAACAAACTCCAGGAGATACTGAAGGACAGGGAAGCCTGGCAGGCTGCCATCCATGGGGTTGCAAGAGTTGGACACAATTGAGCAACTGAAGAATAACAATATGGCATCAGGGAACTGGCTGGTTTAGATCTGTAGGCTCATGGCAACAGTTGCTGTGGGGCTTGGTCAGTTCCAGGGATTCTTGTTCTGTGGCCTTGGTATAGGATTCCACTACCATCTTATCAGTGTCTGGCTGCCAGTTTCTTTTATGGGTCAGAGATGGGATAATGTGAAGAAACAAAGTCAAAAGGTGTTAATCTTGCAAATAGCTCCTAAAATGGCAAGCCTCAGGCAGGGGATATGTTAATTTCTTCCTTCCTGCCACTGACAGTTGGACAGGGTTCCGAACAAAGGCACTTTTGACAGTCAGGTAGAGGGGCAGGATTCTCTGAGGTAGGCCATTATGATTATGCTAACAAAAGCAATGGAAAGCAAGTCAAAGAAACAATTCCAACGCGGAGTCAGAATTGACTTTTCCCTGCAACAGGGGGACTTGGCCATGATACAGGGAAAAGAGGAAGAGAAACAGGGTTCATTCTCTCACTTCATCCACTCACTCATGCTTTGTTTCCCTCAGTAAATCTTCATTGCTGCTCATTTAGTACCAGGTTCTCTGCAGGGAGCAGAGGAAATGGATAAACTAAAAACAGCCCATACCCTCAAAGAACACAGAAGCAAAAACTGGTAACTGCTTGTTATCTATTAGTTCAATAAATAATTACTGAGTCCCAAGCACTGGGGAAAGAGCAGGAAAGAAGTCAAACACAGCCTCATCCTCATGGAGTTTACAGGCTAGCGGTGAGGGACACAGATATTACTCACTGTACACATTGTTCATTACTTGTCATCGTGGCTACTACACAGAAGTAAAGAGTGCCAGGGGAGTCGGCTACTAGGGGTGGTGTTGGGACAGTCAGCAGGAAAAGGAGAGAGCAGATGAGGAAGAGAGACAGGAAGGAAGGACTCCAGAGGCAGCTCCTGGACCCAGTGGGCGTCACGAGGCACAGCTCAGGCTGGGCCCACCCAGAGACTGGACAGGGGAGACAGGAGGACAGGAGAGAGCAAGCACTCTCTCCAGGAAGTGAGAAAAGCCTCGAGGGAATGGGTGGGGTCTCTTGAAGTCATCCTTTCGCCCTTGCTTTCTTGCCGACCGAGAAGAACTGAGGGTGCCGTGTCAGAAGCACTCTAGGATCATAGTTACCACTGAGGTCGCCGTCATCCCTCTCTGTACAGCTGAAGAGGCCAGGGCTCAGCAGGGTGCGTGACGGGCGCCCCCTCAGATCACGGTGCCCTGTGTGGCTGAGTGAGGACCGGGACCAGATCCGCCTCGCTGCTCAGCCACAGCGCTCTGCTGCCCGCTCTTGGCTGTGGGAGGGGAGACTACAGCCAAATCGCCATTTAACAGATGAAGAAGAGAGGCTCCTGTCACACAGGCAGTGAGGACCAGAGGAGTCTGCTAGGAGGAGTGAGTGGCCTTCCTGGGCTGGGTGGAACACCCGCTCTACCCTGCAGGGTCGGCTGGGTGCAACCCTGACCCTCCAGGGTGCTCTAGAAGTCAGGGGACACCTAGCGACTGTTTGGAGACGCGGACGCCCCCTGCTGGCCCAGAATGATTCACGTGGTGAGACAGGTGGAAGGGAGCACACCAGCGGGTCCTGGTGATGGAAGCAACAGTGAGAAAATTCTAAAGAATTCATCTAATTTTTTTTTTTTGTTGTTGTTGTTGAAGGGATATTCATGACTTATGTGTGTCCTGGAAAGACTCTGACAGGTGAAAACAGACAATAAGCTTTGCCAAACTGGGGATTTCGGAGTGGGCCTGAGCTTTGGCAGAAAGGGTCCCCTTGTGGAGCCGGAAGTAGAGGCTGGGATCAGAGAACCTGGCTGACTTGTCTAAGTGCTCAGGAATGGCACAGATGAAGAGTGGAGATCTGGGCCCTATTTGTTCAAGAAAGGGAAGAAGAGGAAAAAGGAGGGGGAGCAGAATGAACTTTTACATTTTTACCCGATCTCAGTTAACACATGACACGAAAGGTGTGTTTTAACTGTGTGCCTTGGAAGAAGAGAAGGCAGAACACAGATATTGCCTGACACCAGGTGCCACTGTTGCATACCTTCATTTGGCAAAACCCTCCTTGACTGGATGAAATGTGAGTTTTATCATTTCATAAATATTGCTAGGGAGCCTGGGCAACTGTGGAAGAAGGCCCATACATCACCCTCTAGGCTCATTTTGGATTTCAAATAGGCAAAGTTAAATCATTAAAAAATGCCACAAAGATTACTGGAAAACAGAAAACATGTACCCTAATTGTGAAGTGATGATTTTCGAACTAAAATAATAGAGACTATGACACATAATCAGGCAAATGACAAGGAAAAAAGCAGGGCACTGGAAAAATGTATGAGTTGAGTGACCCAATGAGGTGGGGGAATAAATATAAATCTATGAGGGAAATAGTGTCCAATGACAGATGGCGAATAACTTTGACACTTGGCACAAAGTTTAAATACTAAGGAACATGTCAGTCTGTATAATCCTTTCTATATTACAGGTGAGAAGACCCCAATTTAGCAAAAATCAGTTAAACTGATAAGCCCACAGCTAGTCTGTGGGGAAACAGGAACTCACTTATATGGTGTGTGAATCAGCCCAGTGTTCTTGAGGAAACCTGGCCTGACAGGATGATACCTTCCTATGCCTTTGGGCTCACAGACCTCACTTTGCGGGGCAGATCTCAAGGAAATAGCTCAAGAAGAAACAGCAACTAGAGTGAGATTCTCTGCCCAGGTGCCTGCACTTAGGAACTGGTTACCTAAAATTCTGTTCAGAATAGTCTATTGCCACAAAAAGTTCCAGTTTGTAGTCAGAGGGCCGAGGGAGATAGTCCGAAGTCGACATTTGGCTGTGTGACTTTAGATTTGACAGTTAACTTCTCTGAACTTCACTTAACGTCCCTCCTTGATAAACTGGGGATATCAACAGGTCACTACCTCCCTGGATTGTGTATTAAAGGAGGTCACGTCTCGAAGTGTCTACACAGCACCTAACCGGCTGTTCAAGAAGGGGTGGCCGTTGCCATTGGAAGGTGACTACTGGACGGAGCCTGGAGAGTTCTCGCCTACAGAGGATGAGGCAGGATCAGGGAGTCTAAGCTTTCTAACTTGAAGAGGAGTTGGTTTCTTTAACTCCTAGTTTTTTTTTTTTATTACAAAGTCAGAAGAAGGAAAATAAACCTCTGCCACAACTTTGCAGGAGTCCACCAAAATGCAAAGGGAAGGTCTTCAAAGGTGTTAAATTCACCTGAAACAGAGAAAAATGCTGAGGGAGGCTCCCACTCCCACCGGAGTATCAAGATTGGGCGCCCTCCAAAGATCTGGAAATGCACGTTTTTGGGAGACTTGGTCTAGGACAGGAGTTTCATATTCCCCAAAGTTCGGAATTTTCATCTCTTTGAGGGAGACGATCTGCCCAAGGTCCCAATTTAAGTGACCCGGTCCGGCGGGCAGTAGTAACCACAGCACGGGCGACCCCTGCGCGGCCCGGGTGAGTGGCGGGCATCAAAAGGGCTGTGGGAGCCGGGGTCCCGGAAGCGGAGGGTGGGCGCAAGTCCCCGGGTGATGGTGGTGCGTCGAGGGTCCTGGCAGTCTCACCCATTCCGCTCCGGGAGCCCCGGGGAGCAGCCCTCCTCCAGCCAGCAGGGGGCGCTGAAGAGAAGGCGGGTGGGGAGGTCGCGGTCCGAGGAGCTGCCACCCCCAGGTCCCCTCCCGGAGTCGGGACCGAGGTTGCAGCTCGCCCAGTCGTCCGCAGCGAGGCTTCTGGACGCGGCCCAGGCAGAATACGGGACCCGGAGTCCCGGAGAGAGGCCCGGGCTGCGTCGCCAGCACCGGACTCCGCGCTTGCCCGGAAGCGCCGGCGCCGAGGGGGCGGGGCAGGGAAGCGCTTCCGGGGGCGGGGGGCGCGGGCTGGGGCGGCAGCCGGAGCGGCGGGGACGGGCCTGGCGCCGGCGGCGGCGGAGGGGGCGCCGCGGGCGGGCGATGTGAGCGCGGCGCTCTCGGCAGGTGAGGCGCGCCGGCGAGGGGGTGGTGGGCAGCGGGCGAGGCGAGGGCGTAGCCGGCGAGGTCGGAGGCAGTCCCGGGCCGCTGTCCGGCTCGCTCTGGGCGCGGCGGGGCTGGAGCCTCCGCGCCTGGTCAGTCCAGCGGGCCGGCGGGTGGGCGGGTGGCGGGGGCTGGAGCCGAGGCCGGGCGGGGTCGGGAGGCCCCGGGCACCTGCTCCGGCCAGGCGCGCGCCCCCGACGGGCCAACCCTGCTTTGGCCCCCGGTGTCAGGACGCTGCTTGCGGGGCTGAGGGTCGCACTCAGCCAGCTGCCCCGGACTCCCCCAGCCTCCGCCCTGGGCGTCTCGGGATCTCCTGCTTCCGGGCTCCTCGGCCCCGGGAGGCGCTCCGGCTTTGTACCGGGAGGTCGGATGGTTAAGTCCCCTGGAGAGCCGTGCCGGGCCGTGGGGTCGGCCCTGCTGATGGCTGCAACCGAGCCCCTGCACCCATGCCACCGCTTTTCTCCAGGTAAACAGGCGCGTCGTGCTTGGCCCTGGACGTCTCCATGGTCACTCTTGCCCTCGGAAGGTCCTGCCATTACGGAGGGCTGGGCTGGCCTGGGGGGTGTCGCCAGTGTCCTTCTAGGCTAGGTGGCTTGTGCCTTGGGGCGTCAACAGTCTGCGAGTCTCAGACTTGAGGTTTCAGCAGCCTTTTCCATGTTGGACCTCAGATTCCCACTTTGACCAGTGAGGGTATTTAGATGAGCTCTCTAGAGACGCTTTCAGTTCTGTCAGTCTGTATATGTCTGAAATTGGAAGGGCTGTCCCTGGTTCAAGATACTGGGCAGTTCCACCGAAGAGTTTGCAGATCTGGACTTTTTAGCCACTTAATACACTTGGTTTCAGACAGTCTTTAAAATGAATCCAAGAAGCCTTTCTAAACCTTGCCTTATCGTAATTCATCCCTCGCTTTTGTTCCTGGCAGGAGTCAGTCACGTCCTGCAGAGTTTTTGCACGCACAAAATTTTTTGTTGTTTATATCTGCCCATTTTCCCTTTGTTCCCTAGTCAGGCCCTCTTTGCTTGACATCTGGATTATTGCAACAGCTTCTTAGCCGTCTCAGACTTCAGAAGTCCCCCCACCTCCCCCACCCTTCCTTTATGCTAATGCCAAACTTAATGTTGGAAGTCAAAAAAAGAGTTGAGTGCTTGCTTATTAAATGTCAAGACGCTGTTCCATGTGGTGGGGTAAAGTAGTGGAGGCACACTTATAGTCTCCAAGCAGCTTTACACTGGGTGCGGAGACTCTACCTGTGCAAAGGTGACTGATTGATGAGACAAGCCTGTGAGCTGTAGAATTAAGAGGGAGGAGAGATGGAGGTCACTGTAGGCCAAATGGTCAGGGAAGGCTTAGTGAGAGGGGTGGCATTTGAGCTGGCTGTTAGAGGATGAGTAGGACTCAGGTAGGAAAAGAAGAGTCAGACCCAGTGATCCTGTGGAGCTAGTGAATAGACCAGTCTCCTTGTGGAGAAGGGTGCACATAGGAAGGGATAAGAGGAAAAGATTGGCTGGGCTGGTTCCTGAAAGAACTTGATCACTAGGCCAAAGTTGAAACTATTCTGAAGTCAGTGGTGAGAGACCAGAGACCAGAGGTGGTAGTTGATGATCATTTCCAGGAGGGGAAGGGAGAGGCTAAGGCCAGGACGTCAGCTAAAAGACTGTATTTACACCACTTTCAGAGTCCTCTGCCTGCCGCATGTGTCCAGTCAGTGCCCACCCCGTCTTTTCAAGGCTCTCCTTGGTTTGGCCCCTGGTCGCCTCCCTGGACCTTACTCACTGCTTCTCCTCCCCGTCTGTCTCCTACAGAAATGAGTTTGTGACTGCCTCTAGGCCGTGCTCCTCTAGTTCCCCCTTCTGAAGTACCGGCCTCCTTTTTCTTCTCTGTGTAAATTCTCCATTTCACTTCCTTCAAGCCCCTGCTGAAGATACACTTCCTCCAGAGGGTGTTCCCTGACCGCCCTACCCCCATCCATGCCTTTGTGGCACTCAGAATCTAAAGCACAGGACTCAGCACTTGTTCCTTGGTTATTGAACTTGCTCTTGTCCTAGCTGGAATGGGCGTTTTTGGAGGGCATTTTGTCTTTTCTTATCTAATATTGTAGCTGCACTTCTATAACAGGTATGCAAACACTTAATGGTTTTTGTTGGTAAATGACTTATAAACATTTTTTTGAACCCCCTCTTTTTAAAGGAGACTCTTATTATCAGTTTTCTCTGTCTTATGTCGATGTCTAATGCTGCCATTTAAGGCAGGTGTTTTCAGCTTTCCTTCTTTGAGTGCAGATAACGTAAAACGAATCTTTGAAACATTAAAATCTTTGCTCTTGATTATGGGAAAAGGAAAAAGTCATGTAATTCTTCAGTGGGAGGTTGTGGGGAAAGAACATGAGCTTGGGCATCAGGTCTGGGTTTGAATCCCAGCAGGGCTCCTTACTAGCCTTGTGAGCTTGGACCATTTATATAATGTCTCTGACTCTCTTGTTTTCTCGTTTGTAGTGTGGGGATAATAAAAGCCATTTCCTAAGATTCTGTGAATTTTGAAATGAAAAAACGTATGTGAAGGAGGTGGCAAAGTTTATAGCACTTGGTAACCGATTAGTAAGTTTTCATCATCATCATTATTATTGTGAGGTGTAAATGTATCAAGGTGGGGACATGCCAGGATGCTGAACCTCGGTGTGTCTACTGAGCTCTGGGTTTCTACTTGTCTCTGGATCCTCATTCTACCTTTCAGCTGAAGCAGTTGTCAGAACTGTCTGTATCACAAATCTGGAATGTATCATTATGTTTTATTCCCATTAATTTTCATCTTTCTCAAGTTTGAATTCTGATTAATGTTTTTCAGACTTCTTAATTGTGTCCATTTAATGTTTTGTAGTTGACAAACTGCTGAATTTAGCTTAGTGAAGCTCATCAACTGAAGTCAGTTTAATTTCTAATGGTTATTTTCCGGTGTACTGATGGCATGGAAAACCTCATGGAAGAAAGCAATTCAAGGTGAGCTTTTCTAATCCTTTCAGTATAAGAGGTTCAGACTTAATCTATTTCCCAGGTCCAGTGCCCCTTGACATGCCAGCAGTGTGCAGATAAGAGGCAACTCCTTGACTTGATTGGGTTCTTTGCCCTGAGAAAGCGTATTTATTCGTTTTTCTTTCTAACTTTATTTATTTGGCTGCCTCGGGTCCTAGTTGTGGCGCGGGCTCTGGAGCTCAGGCTCGGTATTTGTGATACGTGGGCTTAGTTGCCCTGTGGCATGTGAGATTTTCTTGGACCAGGTGTTGAACCCACGTCCCCTGCATTGCAGGGTGTATTCTTAACCACTGGACCACTGAGGACGTTCCTTATTTATTCCTTTAACTGGAACTAATCTTTCTATTTCATGATAGAATTTTAAACATCTAATTGCCCACTTCATAGAAGTAAAAAGAATGGACTTTATGCAGAGAAATGGCTGCAAAGTACAAGCAATTGTAGCCCCTTAATTATTATTATGTTGGTGTAATGATACACCTTTAAGTGAGAATGTTTTTTCCCACTCAGAGGTGATCAGTAAGGCTCTAGCACCAATAAATTCCCTAATTCTCACCACTGTGCCTGGATTAAAGTCTTACTCTTATAGGAGAGAAGAATCCTGGTTCTGGAGACTGTCAAATCTAGGTTCAAATCCAGGCTTAGCCATTAGTGAGTTGGGATGAATTGGGAGAATTAGTTTCTCTGAGTGTTTTTCCATCTGTAGAATGGGTGCAGCTGCAGTGTCTGTCTCATGGTGTGTCATGAAGGTTCGGTGAGCAGGTAGAAAGCTTCCTCAGCGTATAGTACACAGGTGGAGCTCAGTAACTTACTGCCAGTCAGGTTAAAGGGTGCATTCCTGCCCTGCTTGGAAAGCTCAGAAGAAGCTTCTGGTGTTTTGTACTGCCTGAAAGACAATCCCCACTGTCAAACCACACTGCGCTCTCAGAATTGGTGGAGCTGAGCAGACTTGGAGAATGTTAGCGCCTTGGTAGGAAATCTCACAGTTTGGATAAAAATGTTCTTTCAGGCTCACATGAATTAATGCAGTAAGAACTCTAGACTTGTTTTCTTTTAAATTAGGATGAGTGCTTCATGAATATCCATCACGGAATGCCATTTTATTTATTTTTTTTTTCTTGCATTGGGTTTCAGCAGCACCACAATGTTTCGTGAAGGCCTGGTGTTTTTTCGGCTGCTGCTTTCTGAAGCATTAGATTGTAATTCATGACAGCTCAGTTTTAGTTTTGACCTAGACCCAGGCAGAAATACCTAGGAAGGTTCTTTTTATACTGTTGTTACTGCCGTTTCCACGCCTGTTGTCCCCAGTGCTCCCATCTGCAGTCTTTTTAATGACTTTTTGTTTAAGAATGAAAACTGGGATCTTCAGAGTCTTCAGTACCTGATGAAGTCTAGCTTGAGTTGGTCTCCAGTATCAGCAGGCGACTGAAGCCAGCAGGTGCGAATCTGGGTTTGGAATCATGAGCATCTTGATGCAGAATAATGGGTATCTCCTGGTGCCTTAAACAACTTCCAAATTTGTAACCTTGCTTTCCTTTCTTGGAAGTGTCGCTGGGTATTTTTAAATGAAGTGGAGCAAATGAGAGTGTTTATGGGTTAGATGGGAGTGAACTACCTTGTTCGATTTTTCCTGCTGGTGAGACGATCCTACATCTCTTGGATGTTGAGCAGGAAGGGTTGAAAGCTGAGCCACTCGCTTGGTTGGGGTTGCTGAGTGCCTCTGTCTGCTCGGCTCTGGGCACACACTGACCGCAGAGAGCTCACCCCCGGGGGCATGCCCTCAGCAGCAGAGCCGGCTCAGAAATCAGCACATCTCAATTGCTTAGGTTTTATACTTTTACTTTTGTTCAGGTTGTCATTATGGGGAAACAGTTCCTGGACTTTACCCAAGGATTTTGTCGAGGGGATCTCAAGACTCATGTGGGTATTTTGCCCAGGTGACGTGCAAATGTCTTTTCTCATCTTTAGGTTCTCTTTGGAATGGGTTAGCACTGTGGGAAGATGGTACTCGTCTCGGTTCTGGTTTTCACTGCTCGGTTTCCTTACAGCCTAACAAAAGGCGTGTCGCAGAATTGTGCTCGTCAGTGAAGTGGTGTGTTGAAGGGAGCACTAGACATGGATGTTCCCTCTTTCGTGAGACACCGTGTCACAGTGGGAGCAAGTCTCCTCTCAGCTGTCTTGTCTGGTTCTCTCCGGAGCGAGCACGTGTTGGCACACGGCTCCTGGCTGCTGCGCTTTCTGGTTCCTCCCAACGGTTTATTGGCCGACTCCGCTCCGTTGCCCAGAGGGCAGCTTGTCTGAGGCAGAGCTAACTTGCCTTCCAAAGTGGAGAGCGTACCTCGGTCTCCAAGTCCCGTTGAGTCCTTCTTTGGACTCATGTTCAAATTGGCAGCCCCCAGGATCCAGTTTGAGATTTCCAGTGTGGTATTCAAGGACTTCCATGTTCCCACCGTGGCATTCCTCTTTGCCTGGCCACTCCTTGTACCTGGGGCCTGGCCACTGCCCCAGACACCATACATTTTCACCCCACTGTTCTCTGATTCTCCCAGTCCTTCTGCCTGGAGTCTTCCTCCTGTTCCATTTGAAATGCAAAGTCCTGTCCAAATATTGCGTCCACCATGAAGTTTTTCTTTGTTCTGTTGGATTAAAGATTTTTCTTTGGTCAAAAGTAATCAGTCTTGTCATTGCTCTCATAGTTCTTTGTTTCCGCCTCTGTAATTGTCTGCTTGATACAGTAATTATCCATTTGCAGCCTATCTTTCTGTGGATTCTTTGGTTTTAAAAATTACATCTTTTTAGGTAGAATCCTATAACATATCTTAAAAAAATTTTTAGTGAGGCTAATACAGCTATATGATAAAAAATTCAAAAAAGTATAAGTCTATTTCCCTTTCTTCCTCCCAGTCTGTAGTCCTCATTCCCAAAAGTCACCGACATCAATGCTTTCATGTGATTCCTTCCAAAATGGGTACAACAGCATATGCTTGTTCTTTTAAGAAAAGTGTGTGAAGGAAATCAGATATGTACATACATATTTTTTTATATCTTGTTCAGTTGCTCAGTCGTGTCCAACTCTTTGCGACCCCCATGGACTGCAGCACGCCAGGCTTCCTGTCCTTCACCATCTCCCAGAGTTCACTCAAACTCATGTCCATTGAATCGGTGATGCCATCCAACCATCTCATTCTCTGTCATCCCCTTCTCCTGCCTTCAATCTTTCCCAGCATCAGGGTCTTTTCCAAGGAGTCAGCTCTTTGCATCTGGTAGCCAAAGTATTGAAACTTCAGCTTCAGCATGTTCCTCCAGTGAAGATTCAGGGTTGATTTCCTTTAGGATTGACTGGTTTGATCATGTAGTCCAAGGGACTCTCAAGAGTCTTCTCCAGCACCACAGTTGGAAAGCATCCATTCTTCGGTGCTCAGCCTTCTTTATGATCCGTCTCCCACATCCACCGTTTTGGCTAAATATTAGAACTACTTTTCAGGTCAGAGGATACAGATCTGTCTCCTCCTTTGTTTTTGTTTTTTTTCCTGGCATGTGGGATCTTCGCCAACCCAAGGATCGAACCCATGCTGCCTGTAATGAGAGCGAGGAGTCTTAACCACTGAACCTCCAGGGAAGTCCTGTCTATTCTTCTTAATGTCTGGGTAGTGTTTCATTGTTGATTGGGTTTTTGTTTTTTTGAACCAGTCTTCTCTCCATGAATTTTGAGTTCATTTCCCTTTTTTTTTTTTGCTATAGTGAGTCAAAATGCTCAGCAGACATCCTTGTTTCATATATCCTAATATGCTATTGTAAGAACTGTGTATTTGTAGGCTTAATTCTTAGTAGTTAATTGTGGACCAAATAGTAAATGCTTTTTCCATCTTGATCCATGTTACCATATTATTCCTAGGGATTACACCTGCACATTTTTTTAAAATTAATTTTTATTAGAGTATAGTTGTCACACATTTAAAAGTTTGTGCAGGTCTGATGGGCTAGGAATGGTATGTCACTTTTTTCTTTTTGTAATTCACATGTCTCGATCATGAATAAAACTAAACATCTTTTCATACGTCTTTTGAACCTTCTTTCGTAGGATTATCTGTGTGAACCCAAATCTGTTTGAGTTATAATATAAATTAAGGAATTTGGAAAGTAGCCCTTTGTCAGAGGTGCATGTACTTTCCCTCAAAACGTTGTTTGTCTTTCTGGCTTTGTTGGGGGTCAGTTATCATATATTTCTATGTTGTCAGGTGTATTTGTGTTTGTCTTTGTTCCTTCTGGGATTTATGTCATGCTTGCAAAGGCCTCTATGTCTTTATTATAAATAAACTCACCCATGCTTTTCATTTAGTTATTTTTTGGTGGTAGTCAAGTCTTTAAAAAATACTGTCATACTGGGGACGGTGGGGACGGGAGGGGAAAGGATAGTTAAGGAGTTTGGGCTGGACGTGTACACACTGCAATATTTAAAGTGGATAACCAGCAGGGACCTCCTGTAGAGCTGGAGGGACCTCTGCTCAGCGTGATGTGGCAGCCTGGATGGGAGGGGAGTTTGGGGAAGAATGGATACATGTGTATGTGTGACCCAGTCCCTTTGCTGTCCACCTAAAACTTAACAACGTTGTTAATCGGCTGCACCCCAATACGAAATAAGGAGTTTAAAAAAATGTTGTCATAAGACTGTAATGACATTAAATAGAAATAATAGGGCCCTTCTTACATGCCCTAGTGCTTTATAAGAAATGGGTAAAGATGCAGTACCTTTGGAAACTTGGGGAGCTGTATTTTCCATTAATCAGGCGTTTTGTGTGAGCCTGTGAGCACTCATGTCCCTTTCGCCTCTCGCCCACATGCAGTGGATGGAGCAGGCTGCGGGGAAGAGCAGAGTGGTGATGAACGGGTGTCTGTCCACCCTTCCCAGGGTCAGCTGTGTCTATTAGATTATGGTCAGCTGGTTTCCCTGTCTTTGCGAAGTGGCT